GATCATTATTAACTTTAGATAAGTTTTTTTTCCATGAAAAACAATTATTATAATAAAATTTTAGTTAATTTTCAAAACCATACTGGGAGTTTGTTTGTATTGGTATTTTTATTTGTTATGGTAAATATTAGTTTGACACATATTACATATATCTTGGTAACAAAATGTTATTCAAAATGAGTTTCCGTAAGATTCAGATTCAAGATCTAGTTACTACAAAATCACAATAAATTAATTTAGAAAATAAATTTAGAAAGATAATTTAGAAAAACAATTTAGAAAATCAATTTAAAAGACAAGTTGAGACGGGAGCAAGCTGAATTTGCATCAAGGCGAAGTCGAACAATGCTTGGTGGAATCCCTTCTCAAGCCCAATCACTATAATCATAGGCAATACCATCAATAAACCAATATCTACTGTCAATTGAGAAACAATGGTGGTCTGAAGAGCTTTGGTGTTATAAACATTTATATTCATGATGGGTAATGTTGTCTTCACGTAAAGTATCTGAATGCATCAAGGAATGTATAAGAATAAAAACAGAAAGATAAAATGTACAATCCTAGATCATTACACCCGAAGAAAGGAAAAGAATTTAAGAAAGTGCCTGGGAATATGTCTTCGCTTAGATTGATGGTTTTAGAAACTTTAGATAGACCCCTTTGGTGAGGTGAAACACGACCAAACTCATCTGGATGACCGTAATGGAATCGTACTCTAGATCCAAGAGTTGAAACAAAATGTCAAGTTATAATTTTTTTTAAAAATAAACTAGATTTACCTGAGAAAATATGACTTACTTCAATGGGCTAGCAAGCACCCTCTGCCCAAGAATAACAAAGTTATTCTCCTGATTTTGACATAAACCATGCAGGGGAAGAAACACTGCCACAAGAAGCAAGGCAAGTAGGAGATGTGATGTTGAAAACCAATTTAGAAATACAACATTTTTTATGTAGTTCTTGTCACGCGAATCTACATCCATTTTATAATAGTCCGAAGGAGCACACCATATATTATACTGTGGTAGCCTTATAAAGCTCATTGTTTTTTCTAATATGATGTTGGCCATTGTGTTTTTGCAAAAGATTGCCCTTCATCTCACTTATTCCAATCATTTATCATTTTTTAAAATTTGTATTCCCATATTTTTTCATGTAATGAGCCTAACCTGTCCATACTTAATACTCTCTCTGTTCCACAATGTAAGATTTTTTTTTGTAACATCTGAAGCTTTATTAAATAGTGAAGGGAGCATACAAATATTTAAACAACCATTGAGGTGGGCTTGCATACAACATAAAGAAATCAACAGAATCATAAATACATTTTGAAAGTAAATCTGCTGCCTGATTTTTCTCCCTGTTCACTTGTGCTAAAGAACATAATGGCAGAAGTGAAATCCAATGACGAATATCAATGAGGATATTGCCCAACTCTGTATTCTCTTCCCATTTATTGATCACATTAGTGAGCTGAAGGCTATCTCCTTCAAACCAGACATTCCTCATACCTTTACTCTATATGCGTTGAACCACATAGAGAAAGCCATTTGCTTCAGCCTGCAGTGGTGTGTCTACCTGAGGTAATTTTGCCCAACCTGATTCTATATACTGTCCTTTGTCATCTCTTATTATCCACCCTACACCCATGCAAGACGCAGACGATCTATATGTGCTATCAAAGTTACATTTTAACCAACCTGATGATGGTGGTTCCCAACAGCTTGTTGGTGTCACACATATTCTTCTTTCTTGAATCGTAGTGGACGGATTAGCAATAAACCATTCCGCTACAGCTTGAACTCCTTTCTCCACATCGTTCTGAGGATGAACATTTCTATGTGCAAATAGAAAGTCATTTCTCGATTTCCAGATCATCCAACTCATCCACATGGGAAGGAATCTTTTCTCCTCCGTCAAAGATTGCATTTCCAGGATTTGAAATAACATTCGAATGTTGTCTTCCAAAGATATGTCTGACCTATCAAACTGGGTGAATCCTGCACATCTCCAAATAGAATTTGCATGTTGACAATTAAACAAAACATGATTAATCGTTTCTTCATAGAGACAACAGCGTTGACACATCGGATCTATATTCAGGATGCGGGAACATAACCTTTCAGCTGTTGGAATTGCCCCTGCTATAGTTTTCCATAAGAAATGTTGTATCTTTGGTGGAATTTGAAGTTTCCATATTTTTTTCTTCACTTCAATTGGACCTGGGGGTGGTTCTATTCTTTCTCCATCCTCCACAACATGAGTCGCCACCCAATAGCCTGATTTTACTGTATACACTGTGTTAGTAGTGTATGGCCAAACAAACACATCTTCATTAGCAAATCTTGACAATCTGATCGATTTGACTATTTCTACATCTTCTGGAGCTAAAAGCTGCACTAATTTAGCTTCATCCCATTCCCTAATCCCTGGCTTCCAAAGCTCCTCCACATGCATATTCAAATCTCTAATGTTTCCAACTCCTACATTTCCTTGAACGACTCTTGGAGGTACAACAGGTAGCCAATGATCTGACCAGACCTTAGTAACCTTACCATCTCCTAGTCTGACTTGTAAACCCTTTTTGAGCAGGTCTTTCCCTGCTTGAATTGATCTCCATCCATAAGATGGGCCACCTCCACACACCGACTCTAAGAACGTCGATGATTTGTGGTATCTCCCTTTATAAATCCGTGACAATAGTGATTGTGGATTCTGCAGTATTCTCCATGCTTGCTTCCCAAGTAATGCCATATTAAATCTATGAAGATCCCTGAATCCCATTCCTCCTTCATCCTTCGGTAATGACAATCTCTCCCAAGAGATTCATGAAATCTTACGATGTCCATTGTCATTCGTTCCCCACTAAAACTCTGATAGAATGCTGTTGATCTCTTGGCAAATTTTTTTCGGAATAAGAAAACAACTCATCGCATACACCGGTTTAACTTGTGCAACTGATTTGATAAGCACTTTCTTACCCGCTTGACTCAAAAACTGATTGTACCAAGAACCTACATTCTCCTTTACTCTCTCTACTAATCCCTGGAAAATCTCCGTTTTCTTTCTCCCAAATTGTTCCGGAAGACCCAAATATTTTCCTCCACCACCCACTCTTGAAATTCCTAGGAGGCCTTGTATAATCTGTTTCCGATGACTTGTAATACGATTACCAAAAATGATTGACGATTTTTGAAGATTGACCTTCTGACCTGATATAGCTTCGTAGTCGTGTAGAATTCTCGCCATTCGTTGACAATCTTCATAAGTTGATCTGCAGAAGAAAAGAGAATCATCTGCAAACAGTAGATGAGATACGGAAGGGCATGCTTTGGTTAACCTCATTCCATGAAACTCTTTCCTTGCTTCCGCTTGATAAATCATCTGAGATAAAGTTTATGCACACAATAAAAAGAGATATGGAGAAAGAGGATCACCTTGTCTTATTCCCCTTTGTGGTTGAATTTTCCCGTAATCTAAACCATTGATAATGATGGAGAATGAAACTGATCGGACACAACTCATTACCCAACCTATCCATTTGTTATCAAAACCCATCTTTTTCATTACTTCTTCAAGAAAACCCCATTCCACACGATCATAAGCTTTGCTGATATCTGTTTTGATGGCTAGATATTGTTGAGCACAATCTTTTTTGGACTTTAAAGCATGCATCAGTTCATGAGCTATCAAAACATTATCAGTTATGTTCCTCCCTGGAACAAACGCTGCCTGAGAATCAGATATAATATTTCCTAAGATTCCTTTCAAACGCATTACTAGAATCTTTGAAATAATCTTATAGCTGACCGTACATAAGCTGATAGGTCTGAAATCCGCTAATCTGTCTGCACCATGTGTTTTTGGTAGTAAACAAAGCTGTGTATGGTTAACTCCTTCCTCCATTACACCTGTATCAAAAAATTTCTGGATTAGTCGGATTACATCAGAACCTATTTCCTCCCAAAATTGTCGATAAAAAGAGGCTGTGTAACCATCAAAACCGGGTGCCTTATCTGGACCAATAGAGAAAACTGCATCCCGAATCTCCAATGCTGAAATTGGTCTTGTTAACAACATTTTAATCTCTGCCGTCACTCTTGTATCCATAGTTGGTATGATATCATTCACAGGTCTTGTATTTGAAGCCGTAAACATTTGGCTAAAATACTCCTCTGCCACCCTTGCTATTGCTTCATCATTTGTGTGAGCAATTCCTTGATCATCAACTATCTTCTTAATACAAGTCCTCGGTTTTCTTGTTTTAGTGACTCCATGGAAAAAAGCATTGTTCCTGTCTCCCACTTGTAATCATTTATTTCTGCTTTTAACATGCCAAAACACTTCTTCATTATGATAAGCCTTATTCAGATTAGCTCTCAAACTTCGTATCTCCCAAGCCGCTACTGTTGGATCTCTCAAAGCTCTGTCTAATTGAGTACGAATAGTCTGAATATCTTCAACTGAATTAAAACGATGCCTCCTTTTCCATTTAGCCATCTCTGTACGACATACTTTTAGCTTAACTGAGAAATCCTGAATATGAGAACTCTTATGCTTCCAAAAATGCCTTACCGTTTCAACAAAATCTTCTTCTTGACATAGTCTTTTATCATATTGGAATTGGCCTCTTTTGATTCTCTCTTCATATTCAATGATGACTAACAATGGCCTATGATCAGACTCTGCTATATCTAAAAACTTTGTTTCAGAAGCTGGATAAAGTCGTCTCCATTCTGAGTTAGCTAGAACACGATCTAAACAGCACTCAACAATACCACTTCTTGTATTACCCACCCAATTGAAAGGATTACCTTTGGATCTGATATCCTGCATATCACAAGTCTCCATCATCAAACGAAAATTTCTGAAGCTACTCTCAGACCTAATACGTCCTCCTTTTTTCTCTGCATTACTCAAAATCTCATTAAAATCTCCACACATCATCCATGGACCAAGTCTATGCACTGCAATTCGTTGTAGTTTCTCCCATAAATGATTTCGTTGACTCGGTATTGGGTGACCATAGACACACGACAAGTAGAATTGAAAAGCTTTGTATTCAACATGGATGTCTATAAGACGGGAATCAAACGAAATACAAGAAACTGAAACGAAATTCTTCCAAAACACAACTAAACCACCACTTAAACCCTGCGGAGAAACTATTTTCATCTGATCATACCCTAACTGAACTCCAACATCCCTTACGTAGTCATCACTTTGCTTGGTTTCCATCAGGAACAGCATGTCCGGGAGATACACCCTTTCTATCTCCTTTAGACGTTGAACTGTGAGGCGCTGTCCCAAACCCCAACAGTTCCACACCTCGACTCTCATGGGACTGGTGGTGGTACCGGGCCCACCGTGCCTCTGTCTATTGGTGTCAGGTTTGGGGAAAGGGAACCTGAGCCCATGTAGTCAGTCTGAAGCTTCTTCAATGAATCCGATTCCTCCGAGGTCTGATGAGTCTCTGGACCTTGCATCACTTCTGTTTCACCACTCAGACGAGCTTTCTTAGTCGCTTGGTCTGATTGAATCTCTGTCAAAACATCATAACCCATAAAGCTACCATACTGCTCAAAAGAACCATCATTATCCATTCTACTTTCCCATTGCAATATAATATGATCATCATCATCCTCAGTATCATCATCCTCAGTAAGTATATTACCATCCCGTGGCGTAGTCGATAGGCGGAGACGTGCTTCCCTTTCGATATCCTCCACCAGTGCATCCACAAACCGTCTCTTACGCATCGCTTGATCTTCTATCAACTGTGGGATCGGTGTAAGATCCTTCTCCGTAAATGGGATTGGTGAGTACTCCTCTGCAGATGAGAATTCCTCCACGCCCCCATTCACCCTCCAATCTCCTCTGGTTTAGAGCCTCCCGCTCCAGTTGTTGAATCATTGGATCGGGAACATGGACGTGCTCTGCCTCCATCTGATTAACATTGTCGTCATCGCCATTGTCATCATCGTTGTTGTCTGGTGGCGGTGCATCGTCTTCCTCATTGGGGATACACTCCCCTGTATCGTGCGTCATCAGCCCACATTCCTCACAGAAACCTCGGAGGCGTTCGTATCTGAAGTTAAGCACCGTGTTGACCCCTGGGGTAAATTGGAAATTCTTCTGAAAGCGCAGAGGATTGTCACCTTCAAAAGTATCTTCACTCGGACAAATTCCACCGCCGCCGCCATTTCTGGATTGAAATCGATGACATCGACGTGACCAAGGGAATCGCCGATGTGGTAGATCACGTTGCGGGTCAGGAATTGGATTGGTATTCCTCTGACTTGGACCCAGAAGGGGATGATATTGAGATCAGTCTCATCCATCTCTGGCCTCCATTGTTGAAGCACGAGCATTCTGTCTCCGTACGACCAGGGTCCCCGATTCAAGACCGATTGCATCAAGTCTTCAGAGGGGAACACAAATTGAAAGCGTCGGCGTTCAATCACTCGGCCCGAAATGACTCCAGTGAGACCCCAATTGCGAGGTAAAGTTGCAACAATCGCCCGGAGATTCTGACGACGAGGAATGAGAGCCCTTCCGATTAAGGAAAACTGATTGACTCGGACAGCTTCAGTACACACATCGATGGGGAGAGCGACAGGTTCGTCGTTAATCCCCAGGTTAAGGTTTTGGATTGCATTACGCAAATTATTCGCCATTTTCTTTGGATAGAGGTTGAATTTCGAATAGCACAAGAGAAAGATTGAGATTGAACGGGTTAAGATGTGATGGATTTGGGGGATATACAGCCGATGTATATATAGATCTGGATGACCGTTATGAATAAAGCACAATTCATCGTAGAGGCGTATATCCACCACTACGGATTTGGAGGAGACGGTGAGGGAACCGCTACAGAACTGCTCCACAACCACATCACGTCGAGAAACCGTCCTCAGAAAGAGGAACGTGGATAGAAAAAATAAAACCGCTATTTCGCCAAAAAAATCGCCCTCCGACATGTTTTGGTTGGCTTCTTTTTAAATTTACTACATGTTTTTGCAATCGTTCCACAATGTAAGATGTTAGAGGCTTTTCACACAAATTAAGAAATATTTATTGTACTACTTTTTCTTTCACACTAACCACTTTTTAATAGTTTTTAACCAATCATAATTTAACTATTTAAATAATTTTAGTTAGTATGTCTTGAAGTTTGTAATATGTTAATATTAATTAGGAAAAAGTACCTGAAAAATTCTAAAACATCTTACATTATGGAACAAAGAAAAATTATACAACATATTATATTCTAAACAGGGGAAGTATAAATTTCTATCCAAAAAAGCGAAAAAGACCATCAATCGAAGACAAAAAAAAAATATTAAATATTCTGAGATTTTCTAGTGCACAAAAGAATATAATGGACTCTATGGGCCGTAGGCAGATAAATGGCCCATCGTGAGTTGGACTCCACTCACACACCCCAAAAGACGCAGTGAGATTCCGGGAGAAGACTACGTGACAATGGAGAGACTAAAACAAAAGATTGTCACTCGCCGGAAAAACAGCGTTGGTTACCGGAGGGACTCGTGGAATCGGGTTTGGCTCTGTTCTCTTTTCAATTTGCTTCCAATTGTTTTGCGGCAGACAAAACTCTTTGTTCTGCAGCATATTTTCGTTTGTTTGGGGATAACGAAAGCAAAAATATATCTCTTCTAAAGTATTCAGTTTTTGCAGTAATGAATTGATTTTCGTTACTTGACGATGACGACAACAAATAGAAAGCTGTTACTATTTTTTTCCGCTCATGATTTGGTTTATCCAGTGATTGTTTCGAAACTTTTGTGTAGCGATAATTGGTTTGTTTGATTAAACCGAAATTGAGTTCATAGATTTGATTGCATAAGTATGGAACCCATAATCTCTGGATTTTTTTTCCGGTGTATACTCTTCAGGCGAGCAGTAGTAGAGGAGTTAGGAAGATTCGGTGCGAAAATTCATACTGAGCTAAAAGCATGCTTGGATGATTGGAAATCCAATGGTTTAGTGGTATCTGGTTCGGTTTGTGTGCTTCGGTTAGAGTATCAGAGGGAGAAGTTGATTCAGGAAGCTTCGTCTGCCTTCGGCGGTAAACTCAACATCCTTGTAAGTTCCCTTCTCCTGAAAAATTGCTTTGTTAAAGCTTACAACTTTCGTTTGTTCTGCATTTTTGACTACACGTTAGAATCCTCATTGATCTTTAAATTGTTTATTGCATCACCTCAGAATCCTTATAATATTCGAACCAATCTATTTTTGGTTGGTCTTAGCCGTATTGCCTTGAATCATTAGCACAGTAGTGATGCTTGATTGCTTGTTTGATCTCATATACGTTTCCATCTATTACGCAGTATAGTTTATATGCAATGGTTAGCACTAGCGGCACAAGTTAAAGGTTTGAATCTTTCTTTGCCCTTTGCGAAAATTTCTCAACTTGTTTTTGTATACACTAGGTAGTTGGCCCGCGCCTGCGCGGGCAAGAGATGTTTTAGAACTCCAAATTCTTTCAATCAATATTAGATGAACACATTTTATTTTTAATTACTTTTCATATTTTTGTAATGTGTTTATTTTCCAAGGAAGTAATACCTTAACATTTTGTAAATTTGATACGAACTTATAAATTGTGAAAGATCTAGAAAAAAAAAAGTTAAATTTTGTAATGGTTGTTTTCTTCTCCCTGTTATTCTTTTTCACTGATCTCATATTTTTTTTCTTCCATTTATTTATTCGTTGTCATCATCTTTTTTTTTTTCTTTTTCAAAATTTCGTTCTTCAGTCATTTCTTGTATCTTCATATCCTCCAACCTACTATTCTTGTTTTTCTTTATATTCTTGTTACGTTTTTTCTTCTTCCTCATTCCCCTCACTCTCTATCTTTATCATCTTCGTCTTTTTTGACATCATCTTATTCTAGTTTTTATTTATTTCTTATTTGTCTTTTTTTTTTCTCTTTAGATTTCATTTTTTCTTCTTTATTTTCTTTTTCCTCTTCGGAGTTTTCTTCTTCTTCTCGAAGTTTTTCATCTTGTTTTCCACTGTTTTCTTTTATTCTACTCGTGTTTTTATTCCTTCTTGTCTATGTCTTATATTTCACTTATCAATTCATTATTTAGTTTAGATTTTCAAGGATTCGTGAAATAGTTTTTATCTTTATATAATCGAGATCTTTTAAAAATCTAATTAATTTGTGTTGTTATCTTTTGATTATGGTTATGCTTTCATTGTTTTAGTTTTTTCTATTTGTGAGTGTATTTTAGAATGGTAGATATAAATTTATAATCAGTGATTTTTTGTTTTGATATACTTTTATAATAATTCAAAACTTTTAAAATGCACCAAAATTAAACCCTACACTCATCAATATAAACCCTAAACCCAAACTCCACATTATAAACCCCTCCCTCCCTAATTAAAGAACCTACACCCTAAAATCAAATCCACATTATAACTTCCCCCTCAACTTCACACCTCAACCTCATATTACAAATTAGTTTTAGATTTGCTTTTATTTTTAGTTTATTTATAAATCTTTTTTATAATGGTTGTATTCTTCTCCTTTTTATTCTTCTCAAGTAATCTCATCTTCTTCTTTTTTCTTCCATTTTTTTATTCATTGTCATCATCTTCTTCATCTTCCAATTTGTATTCATTGCTTTTCTTTTTAATGGTTGTTTTCTTCTCCTTTTTATTCTTCTCTACTGATCCCATTTTCTTCTTTTTCCTTCCATTTTTTATTCATTGTCATCATCTTCTTTTTTTCTACATCTTCTTCATCTTTCAATTTTTGTTCTTCAATTGGTTCTTGTGTCTTTATATCCTTCAACTCACTATTCTTCTTTTTCTTTCTAATTTTCTTTACATTCTATTTCCGATTTTTCTTTTCCCTCATTCCCCCTCTCCCCTCTATCTTTATCATCTTCGTCTTCTCTGACATCATCTTATTATAGTTTTTATTTATCTCTTCTTTGTTTTTTTTTCTTCACATTCCATTTTTTTTTCCTCGTGTTAAAGTTTCTTCTTTCTCTCAAAGTTTCCCATCTTCTTTTCCATCGTCTTCTTTTCTCTTACTCTTGTTTTTCGTCCTTGTCTACGTTTTGTATTCCACTTATCAATTCATTCGATAGTTAAGATTTTGATAGTTCATGAATTCAATTAATATTAGATTAACACATTTTCTTTTTAATTACTTTTCATATTTTTGTAATGTGTTTATTTTCCATGGAAGTAATAGCTTAACATTTTGTTAATTTGATAACAACTTATAAATTGTGAAAGCACAAAAAAATTAGTTAAATTTTGTAATGGTTGTTTTCTTCTCCCTCTTTTTCTTCTTCACTGATCCCATTTTTTTTCCATTTATTTATTCGTTGTCATCATCTTTTTTTTTTTTCCGCTTCTTCTTTTTCGAATTTTCGTTCTTCAATCCTTTCTTGTGTCTTCATATCCTTCAAACTTACTATTCTTTTTTTTCTTTCTAATTTTCTTTACATTAAATTTACGTATTTTTTTTCCGCTTCTTCTTTTTCGAATTTTCGTTCTTCAATCCTTTCTTGTGTCTTCATATCCTCCAACTTACTATTCTTCTTTTTTTTCTAATTTTCTTTACATTCTTTTTACGTTTTTTCTTCTTCCTCATTCCCCTCACTCCCTATCTTTATCATTTCGTCTTCTAGACATCATATTATTCTAGTTTTTATTTATTTCTTTTTGTCTTTTTTTCTCTTTACATTCCATTTTTTCTTCTTTGATTTATTTTCCTCATATTCGAGTTTTCTTCTTTTTCCTCTCCATATTTCCCATCTTCTTTTCCATTGACATCTTTTCTTTTACTCGTATTTTTATTTGTTCTTGTGTACGTCTTGTATTCCACCTATCAATTCATCTGATAGTTTAGATTTTCAAGGATTTATGAAATAGTTTTTTTTTAATCTTTATTAGTTGAGATCTTTTAAAAATCTTTGTTATCTTTCAGGTCTGGAATTGCTTTAATTGTTATAGTTTTTTTTCTATTTGTAATGTAATTTAGAAAGGTAGATATAAAGTTATAATCAATGATTTATAATTCTGATTTCTATAATAATTAATTTTTAAAAATGCACCAAAAAAACTAAACCCTACACCCATCAATATAAACCCTAAACCCAAACTCCACATTATAAACCCCTCCTCCCTAATTAAAGAATCTACACCCTAAACCCAAATCCACATTATAACTCCCCCTCAACTTCACACCTCAACCTCATATTATAAATTAGTTTTAGATTTGCTTTTATTTTTATTTTTTTATAAAGCTTTTTTTTAATTGTTGTTTTCTTTCCTTTTATTCTTCTCTAGTGATCCCATCTTCTTCTTTTTCTTCCATTTTTTATTCATTGTCATCATTTTTTTTTCTGCTTTTTCTTCATCTTCCAATTTTTGTTCTTCAATCGGTTCTTGTGTCTTTATATCCTCCAACTCACTATTCTTCTTTTTCTTTCTAATTTTCTTTACATTATATTTCCGATTTTTCTTTTCCCTCATTCTCCCTCTCTCTCTCTATCTTTATCATCTTCGTCTTCTCTGACATCATCTTATTATAGTTTTTATTTATCTCTTCTTTTTTTTTTTCTTCACATTCCATTTTTTCTTTTTCCTCGTGTTAAAGTTTTCTTCTTCCTCTCAAAGTTTCCCATCTTGTTTTCCATCGTCTTCTTTTCTCTTACTCTTGTTTTTCGTCCTTGTCTACGTTTTGTATTCACTTATCAATTCATTCGATAGTTAAGATTTTGTTAATTCATGAATTCAATTAATATTAGATTAACACATTTTCTTTTTAATTACTTTTCATATTTTTGTAATGTGTTTATTTTCCATGGAAGTAATAGCTTAATATTTTGTTAATTTGATAAGAACTTATAAATTGTGAAAGTACAAAAAATTAGTTAAATTTTGTAATGGTTGTTTTCTTCTCCCTCTTATTCTTTTTCACTGATCCCATCTTTTTTTTCTTCCATTTATTTATTCGTTGTCATCATTTTTTTTCTTCCCGCTTCTTCTTTTTCGAATTTTCGTTCTTCAATCCTTTCTTGTGTCTTCATATCCTCCAACTTACTATTCTTCTTTTTCTTTCTAATTTTCTTTACATTCTTTTTACTTTTTTTCTTCTTCCTCATTCCCCTCACTCCCTATCTTTATCATCTTCGTCTTCTGAGACATCATATTATTCTAGTTTTTATTTATCTCTTCTTTGTCTTTTTTTCTCTTTACATTCCATTTTTTCTTCTTTGATTTATTTTTCCTCATATTCGAGTTTTTTCTTTTTCCTCTCCATATTTCCCATCTTCTTTTCCATTGACTTCTTTTCTTTTACTCGTATTTTTATTAGTTCTTGTGTACGTCTTGTATTCCACCTATCAATTCATCTGATAGTTTAGATTTTCAAGGATTTATGAAATAGTTTTTTTTATCTTTATATAGTTGAGATCTTTTAAAAATCTTTGTTATCTTTCGATTCTGGATTTGCTTTAATTGTATAGTCTTTTCTATTTGTAATGTAATTTAGAAAGGTAGATATAAAGTTATAATCAATGATTTATAATTCTGATTTCTATAATAATTCAAATTTTTAAAATGCACAAAAACTAAACCCTACACCCACCAATATAAACCCTACACCCTAAAACCCAAACCACTCCCCCCCCCAAACGACCCTACACCCTAAACCCAAACCCACGTTATAACTCTCCCCCTCCCCCAAAACGACCCTACACCCTAGACCGAAACCCCACGTTATAACTCTCCCTAAACCGCACACCTGAACCCCACATTTTACAAACTGGTTCTAGATTTGATTGATTTTTATTTTTTCTTATTTTTTTGTTTTTAATCGGTAATGTAGTGTATTCAAATTTTTTAAAATGCAACAAAAATTAAACCTTACGCCAATCAGTATAAACCGTACATCGTGTACCCCAACCCTATTTAATTACTTCTTTCATATTTTTTTCTTCATTTTCTACCGTTTTTCCTTATTCTTATCAAAATTTATAATCTCTTTTTCTTTTCCTCTCTCTTCATCGATATCTTTTTATTTCCTGGTTTTTATTCGTTTTCTTCCTTTTATTTACAGTTTGTTTTTCAACTGGCTTTTGTGTTCTTATTCTTCATTTTTATCTTTTTATTTTTCCACTTCTTTATTATTCACATATTCTTCAATTCTTTTTTTCTTTTGTTTTGTTTTTTTGTTCGTTTTTTCCGTCTTCGTCTTCCAACTTTTGTCTTTCCTTATTTTTATTCAAGTTTTCCTTCTTATTTCAACTTGTACTTCATCATTTTCTAGTATCAGTCTTTTTCTTTTTTGCAACATCTTATTTATCAGTTTCGTCTTCCTCTTTATTTTATTTTTATTTTT